CAGCGGGCGGACGGTGGGTGGAGCGGCCGGTGGCGAGGTTTCCGCCGGCCAGGGCGGTGGACGAGGCGGCAGCGGCAGAGATGGCGGTTAGGGTTGGGCGGCCGGTGATGCTTTGAGAATCTCCCGGGCTCTAGATTGTTGGCCGGCCGGCCGGGGGCGGCGGCTGCGACACGACGGTGGTGGCGGGTTGGCTGGCGGTGAGCAAGGCGGCAGCGGCGTCACCGAGCCAGGTGGGGCAGAACAACCGGATGGGCGGGGTAGGCGGCGGGGGCGAGCAGCCGATGAAGTTAGGGGAGGGCGGGCTCATCCGGCGGGGGTGGTTGGTGGGAGGAGAGGTCGCCGGCGGCCTGGGCGGTGGTCGAGGTGGGTGGCGGGGCAGTGGCTCGCTGGGGAAGATGAAAGTAACGCGCAGGGGAGGAATCCATCTTGGCGGGCGCGTCTGCGCCGCTATTGGTCCTGGCGCGCGCGTTGAGAAAGAGTCCCGGTCCGATGAACATGCAAGAACGTGAACGCCGTCTCCTTACATGTGGCCCGTACTCTGCATGCTGCTCTTCGCACCAGAATTACGGCAAGAGCGCACGAACGTCACGCTGATCACGCCACGGTGATGTATGAAGTATGAACGTACCTCTAGTCCAGTAGATTCTTATGTGCCCCGACCGAAGATCCAGAAGATCTTGGCGTCACCGTGCGCGGGGTTACATTGACCTTTGCCGCCATAACTTCCCCGCAACGAACGGCACTGAGATCGGATCAAATGTCAGTGATCAGTAATGGCAGCGAGACAGTTACAGCAGCACTCCATGCATCCACCATTTACTCCTACGTACTTGCAGAGGTGGTTGGCGTGACCATCGACACGACGGCTTGCCGCTTGCGCGCTTGCACGTACCGTACCTTGTAGTATGAGATCACGCGACATGCAATGCCAGATCTGCCTGAGCCAGTACCAGTATCGCCACAAATGTACAGGCATGCACCGATCCACGCACCTCGGACTCCTACGTATAGACGTATAGTAAATGCTTCAGACACCGCTCGCGCTGCTCATCATACCGCGATCACGGACGTACGCAGGCCCCCGTCCTGGCTGCCAAGTGCCAAGGGCCATGGCCAAGTCCTTAAGAACCGGGGCTCCCTTCGGTTACTCCGTTGCACGACCATGGCGTCTGCATGCCCGTGGCAGCAGGCGGCAGCGGCTTGCCCGGCCTCTCTCATCTGTTGCGCATCAATCATGCAAAGGCTCAGCGCTAGCTGGTAGCTGCAGCAGGCCCTTCGCGCCGGTCTGGCCTTACTGGTGTAGTACCGAGCTGCGCCAAGGAGGAAAAAGTCACGGCAGGGTGATCCCAGACCCGATCGAGCGTAGCAGCGCCCAACTCGAACAGCTGTAGCTACTAGCTACGTACGTACGCTGACAGTGTGCCGTACCATCGGAGCGTACGTCACCAGGGCACCGGCTCACTGTAGATGCGTGCAACTTGCATCATGTGCATCAGTTGGAAACTGTTTGTCAACGCGACAAGGGCATCCATCGTATCCTTGCACGAAAAAGAAGGATCAGAGATGTGTGTACCGTGTGTATACGTCCTCGAAAGCAATCCATAAAAAAACGAGCGCAGATACGCACGAGGATTCTTTGGTTCTGGACGAAACGAAACCTTCCGGATGGTCTTGCGATTTTGCGAAGCATGACGTTTTTTTTGGAGATATATATTGTTTGTCAACGAGATCATTATTTATCGTCGCGAGGAAAGGATCGTCGAGAATATAAATGGGAAAAGATCAGGAATTTGCACGTACGCCATCATTCAATAGGGAACTGCTAGCGACCGGACGTTCAATCCGGGTGCTAGTGTTTCCGATTCCCAGTCCGCCCTCTCAAGCGCATGTCCCTTCCCCAGTTTCGCACCGCACGCTACCGGCACACCCCCGGCGACGAGCGCAAGGAGCGGACTGTTGGTGATGGTACGAGGCGGGGACAGCAGGATGTACCCGACTAGTCGGAATAGCTTCCCAATTCCAAAGAGTATGATATGTAATATGGGTTTGCTGGTTTTTTTACGAAAAGCATTACTAATAGTTCATCCTTACGGTCAAGTTTTATTAGCAGTCATGATTACTTCATCAGCTAACCATTCTAGATAAGCACTTGTTCTACTTTCAAGCAAGGGTTGAGCAATCAGAACCATTTTACTATCTTTCATATTTCAATTCTTACTATGGTGCTAAACCATAACCAAGTCGTACCGTCTCACGAAAATGGCGATTTGCGAACCAATGTATCCCAGCTGGGTACCCCAAAACACACACCCCGTTTGTACCCCAGGCACAAACAAGACCAACCCATTCCACTTCTGTCACGGGGTCCAGGTCCCCGTCCACACTTGGACACCAAGCCCCCACACTTGAGACCCGGTCTCAATATGGTGCTTAGACCTCCACCTTTCTCCGCCTCCAATCAGTCGGTCCGGAAAGAACCGGAACCCACGACAAGAGTGTAACGAGCATTCCCGCTCTCATAAACAAGTATGTGCTCAGGATAATAAGTCTGTGACCTGACTACCATCCATAGCAACAGACGGTCCTTAATCGACACGAACAGGGAAAACAGTGTAACCAAGCTAAGCCCCGTTGGCCGCGGGACACAACCTGTTACACCCACCAATACCCATACCATATCCCTGCCCTGTCTCCATTTTTCCTTTCATCATTTTATCATAAGAGTAATTATAATAATCATCTATTGTGAGTAACGGTAGGTTACTCACGCTACCAAAAACCTAAGCATGCAGCTACTCGAACCTGCACTAGTAAGACTCTTAGGGCAGATATATTTATGCATGTGGTTTTCATAAAATTTCTGTAACGTAAATGCACATCACATATATATATATTCAGTGATTATAAAAAATAAGGGTTATGCACCGGGGCTTGCCTTGGGCAGGCGCGGTGTCAGCTGAGTCAGTTAGTGGCGGCTCCGGGACCTTCTCCAGCACGAGAATCTCCTCCTCGTACTCCTCGATGATCTCCTCGAACTCGTGATCGCCGGTGGTCACGATCTCCGCCAACTCGTTCTCTACATGCATGCGATGATGATACAACATTTAGCATTTATGCAACAACAACTCTTAATGTAAGAATACGCATGATAAGCTACTAAGCTAGCTCTAATGACTAAAATACTAAACTAACTATCATCTTCATCAAACAAAGCGTTGGGTTCAACTAACAAACACCTAGCTTTACAAATGAATGATATATCTTTATTTCTACTAATGATTTAATGTATATTAAAACAAAGAGCATTTAACTACCCTAATGTTTATCTATTCTAAAGCTACAAAAATTATAGTGAGTACATAATGATACAATGAAGCTACTATAAAAGTTTTAGGATTAAAGCTATCATCAATTTATCATAAAAATTCCTACCATAATTCTCCTAACAATATTAATATTTTCAAATGATTTAATAGCTCCTGGTATCAACATATAGAGTAAAATGCACCGGAGGTCCATTAACTTTCGTTGTGGTGTCATCTAGGTCCATCAAATTTGAAACTGTATTTTTAGATCCATTAACTTTTGTTTGGTGTCATCTAGGTCCATCAACTTTGAAACTATATTTTTGGTCCATGAACTTTTAAAATGGTTTACTGTAGGTCCACGCATGCATGCATGCACGTCGGCTTCGACCTCCGGTCTTTGCGCGCGTACAGCAACCACTGCATCGACCTCCGGCGGCGGCACCACGCATGGACCTCACACGTAGCACGCCAAGCGGCGGCGCCGCCGCAGGCCAACCCCGTAGAGGGAGACCAGGCAGGGCCAGCGTCTCGTCGCTGTGGGGCAGTGGCTGGCTGTGGCTGCCCTGTGTTGTGCCCGCTCGCCCACGTGAGCCCACGCCGCAAGGCTCAGTGGCTCACCGGCACCGCGGCGGCGTGTGTAGAGGATCAGGCGCTGTAGCAGGCGGGTGGCCACACACCGCCACACGCCGACGCCGCTCCCGTGCTCCGTCGTCGAGGCCGTGCACATTGCCTTCCTGCGCACAGCAAGAGGCAAGCACACAGGCAGCTGAGCTCGCCACCGCGTGTTCACGTTCAGTTCACCTCCCCCGCTACATGCCACCCAGCCCCTGCTTGTGTCGTCCCATCACCCTGAGCCACGGCAGAGCAAGTTGGCTACACCATCGCCACCCGTTGCAGCAAGGCACACACGCCGCCCTGCTCCACTCACCTCTGCCGCGCCATCACTCCTGCATGCTCCATCGCCTCAGCGCCACTGTCGTTGCAAGCAGGCGACGCTCGCAAGCCGACGCTCGCTGCAGTGCTGCCATTGAAGAAGAGTTGCTGTGCTCGCCGGCCAACCCCCCTCCTCTGGCCTATAAAAGGCGACACCGAGGTGCTCTCCTCCACCACCCAGCAGCACGTTCAGCTTACTCGCTCTTCCCTCCCTCCCTGTGGTCTTCGCCCTGCTTCCCTCCGTCCAACCCGAGCTGCCCACGAGCTCCACGAGCTCAGCCATGGCGTCGTCCATGCATGAAGCAAGAAGAGCACTCGTGACCCTTGCTAGCTTCTCTCTCACCCTTCCCATGCATGTGTGTAGCCTACGCACGAGGCGGTGACGTCCCCGTGCTGATGGACATGACGAGGAGGTCGTCAATGGTGGCCGCGGCAGGGAACTCACGCTGGTTGTCGAGCACGTGAGCGATGGCGGCTGCCGTGGGGTTGCCCACAGGCGAGACATGCTAGATTTGGGCGTGGCCGTAGATGACGTCGTCGTGTCGGCGTCCGACAACCGCTCCTCCCCGGCAGCGCCACCTGCAGCATCGCGAGCTCCACGACGAGACCTGCCGCGCCACCTGACGCGCGTGGCGACGCTGCGGCCATGGCCGGCCTCTGGGTGGCTGCACCGGCGCTGAGGAGACCCGAGCTAGAGGCGAACGTGATCCGTGTGACCAGCCACGACGAGCAGTAAAAATGGCACCTTTGGGTGTCGCTCTACTGCTGATGTTGCTGGAGTAGGAAGTTGAGGCTGACGCCTCCTTTGTGCGACGGCGAGAAGGGGTATGCGGACGTCATGAACTGCGCCTGCGGTGCGGCGGCTAGGGCCTTGGCGCGCATGACGTCCATCTCCCGCTCCGCGGCGTCGTCCTTGGGCACACCGTGGAGGAAGCGGCAGGAGGAGCCGTTCTTGCAGTACCCGCGCGCATAGTACATGTAGGGCCTCCATGACGCGGCCGCCTCGGCGTCGCTGAGCGAGAAGCTCCGGCGGTGGGCGCCGGCGCCGCCCGCAGGGGACCAGACGTCGTAGTCGTCGGCGTAGAACGCATCGGCGCCGCCATCGTACCCGAGCTGGTCAGCGGCGAAGGGCGATTGGTGGTGCTGGTGGTGGCCGACGCCGGGGCTCGGGAGGCCCCAGGGCGAACCGGTCTGCAGCGGGCCGAGCATGGGCGACGGCGGGGACACGGGCTTGTCGGTGAGCTCGGCGCGCGCGGGTTGGTGGACAAAGATTCAGGGTCGGCGCCATTGTGTTTTTCTCTCACAATGGGCAGTGATTCAGAGACCGGAGACGAAGCAGGGCGACCTCTCCACGTCGGCGGACAACCTGCGTTGGCGACGACGATGTTCCGGTGAGCCACGACGCTAAGGGAGTAGTAGAGGTAGCGGGTGAGCATCAGCGACTCACCAAGGACCTAGCCGAGGCGATGGTTCGGCCAGAGACGACCCGAGCAAGGCTGGCTGCGTACACGCGGCGAGCTCGGCGATGAGCTACGGCGGACACAACCGCATCAGTAGCGTTGGGACAGTGGTAGGGGTACGGCTCAGGTGCACATGGCGAGGAGGGGTTTGAGGCGAGTCTAGCGGTGCAACCAATTTGGCCCGAGGTGGTCAGATGAGAGCTGCCCTCGGTGATGGACGGACTCGGCCTTATCGGCACGGTGGCGGGAAAAAGATCCAAAATTGAAGCTCGACCGAGTGCCATTCAAGGCGGAGTGGGGACGGGTAGCTAGGCAGCTGTGTGATAGAGCCAACAACACGACGAATCCACTTGAGGTGATCTCTCCCTAACCAATTTAATGGTGCGCTCGACGGCGGCAGCAGAGGAAGAAAGAGAGAAAGAGAGAGACGGGGCGCGACAGGTGGCTCGGCTCGTCCTCGCTTTGGCAGGATGCGAGCGGCGCGATTAGGACACCCACGCACAGGCGCTACAGACAAGGCGTGCGCGCGTCCGACCGGCGTGGCCCGTGTGGCCGTAGTGTCTTAAATGACAAGGCGACGGCGGCTCGGCCACGTGCGCGCGGCAGTGCGGCCTTAAACTGGGCCGGCAGCGGTGTAGGGGGTACAGCGGATAGGCGCGGATGCGACGATGAAGCGACAGTAGCGGCAACGTCGTGGTGCGAGGCTGGTCGGCAGTGCGGCGAGGCGATAGCAGCATAACGCGGCCATGGTGGCACCAATGGCGGCAGCGCGAGGCAGGGTAGCAGGGCGCAGGGCAAGCGGCTCGCTGCGGTCGGCCTCGGCCAAGCCTAGGCGGCTCGACCGACCCAGCGTGGCAGCACGGGATGACCGCGCGATGACCGCGCGCACGGCACCAACCATCCCAAGACTGTGACTTGCACGAATTTTAAAAGCACCCAAAATGACTAAACGGTTGCTCTAGGAGCCAAACCATCTTTACCATGCTCAAGAGGACATATGAGACTACCAAATCAAGGTATAACACTATACCACCCCTTAACTCAATCTCTTAAAATAATTTGCTAAACATAGCAATATCTAGCTGTTGACAGACTTGGAATTTTTCTAAGTTCTGAGCTGAATTTGATTTCAATTTGTAATTATTAGGCTAGTAGAAATATTAGCTATTAATATTATTTTTTGACAGCAAGTATTTCACTGTCATCTACAAAGTTTGTACTTCAAACTTTATTTAAGTATCGCACACATGTTCTATAGTATTTTTGCTTAATAAAAATTGGTTTTCAACCCTACTTGATATACATGAGCTATTGAATCAACTTTCAATTAGCATTTTTATTGATCATTTTAAGTTACAAGAAATTTATCTACACATTCTATCACATGCATTAACACATAAACATGATGCTCATGACAAGTTTTTGTAAATGATTTAGGGTGTAACACCGAGGGTGTTACAGCTCCGATACAGTGGAGTAGATCGAGGAGGAGGGCTTAGATCCAGAGAAGGACCCACCTACCTTGCCAAAAGCCGCCGCCGTCGACCTCTTCTCCGGTGGCATGGAGGTCACGGAGGGAGGGAGGGAGGGGCGGCTCACCGGAAGCTACCGCCGTCGTCCTCCTCTCCAGTGACATGGAGGTCGCGGAGGGAAGGAGGGAGGGGGGAGGGAGAGAGGGGTGGCTCGCCGGAAGCCGCCACCGTCGCCCTCCTCTCCAGTGGGATGGGGGTCACGGCGGGAGGGAGGAGCGATGGGCGGGGGGCGCACGGCTCGGGAGGGAGCGGCGGCGAGCGTCTCCGTATGGAGCGGGCTGAGCGACGTGGGGCAGGTGGATGAGGATAAGGCGAGGGGAGCGAGTGGAGGAGCGTGAGCCGCGTCCGGAGGTGAAGAATCATGTCTAGCATTACCGCATTCAATATGGATCTAGAAAATACTAGTAGAATAGGAAGCAAAAGAGCAGAAATACGTGAAGGTTATGCCTTTTCGACGAATATTTGCTGTGTTCACACACCGGTCCGCGATGGCCGATGGATCGAAGCCGCTTCTACTATTCCCTTGTCCCGATCGAGTGGTACTCGGAGTCGCGACAAGTCCACGATCGATTCGATCAGATTCAGCAGTGTCGCGTGAAATCGATCACATGGTGAACATGCTGACATATATCCTTGTCAAATACTACTACTGCTCGCACGACTGTGAGCGCTGTTCGTGCAACCGAGACATGTGCTTACCCCTTTGTCCTTTGGCACCGGAGCGTAATATCTTGGCCTTTTCAGATCATGTCGTAGCCGATCAGGATTTCTCAGAGCTCAGGCCAGAGTTTTTTTTTGTACTACGAAATAGTAGGAATAGATATTTCATAATTTAACGGAAGTGAGCCTCCTGTGGTAACTTCATCGTTCTCAAGGATTATCAACCTAGCCATCGAAAATGCTCATCAGGTGTTCACGAGGATAAGTGTGCGTAAATTGTGAGTGTCTACGTTGTACTGGTAGTTTGCAAAAAAATAGTTAGAGTAGGTCCTATATACTATTCTCCTGTTCGCTTGCTCGTAAACGATCGTAAATTTCTAGCCGGGAACAGTGTTTTTCTCTCACACCAAACCAGCCAGCAGTAAATAATCCACGATACGATACGGCCTTCCGAACAGGCTGTATGGTTTGGTGATAGTTTTTAAAGGGCAAGCAGGGTAAATGATAGTAAGCATTTAGGGCAGAATGACACTCAGATATTTTCCACTAGACCTGACAACATTTTAGAGAGATGGTGACAAGGTATCCACGTCGACTGGAGAACTCAAAGAGAGAAGGTTGAGAGTGAGGGACGAGATAATGGTGCAGTGAGAGACAGACGAACAGAGTATAGAGTGATGGACGATGGATGGACGGATGGAAGATGATTGAGTGATGAATGGACGATGATGGAGAGTGTGAAGGATGAAAGAAAAAATTTTGTCTCTTTAATACTAAGTATAGATAAGGCGTGATGAGTACCTATAGCCCGGTTACCCGCGTCGACTGTGAAAGTGGGGGCATAGCTACCTGTGAGCCCCCGTCCAACAACTCTTAGTCGGAGAGAGACTCATGGAGCTTCACTTAGAGAGGCACATATCAGCCTGGGCGTTCGGTTTTAACCGTTAATTCGGTTCGGTTTATTCGGTTATTAAAAACTTCGGTTTCCAGCCTATATCACCCGTTCGGTTCTGCAGAAAACTGAAAACCACAGAATTCGGTTTCGGTTTTTTAATTCGGTTTTCGGTTAAAACCGAATTAACCGCCAGTCTGAAAACAGCAGATTACAGCACATATGATATATCAATACCTAAGCTGTCAAGCAAAGCAACAACCAGCAGCACAGAATTACACAAAGTAGTGTCGGCATCTCACAGTACACAAATAAACAAGCCTCAAGACAACAGTACACAATTACATAGATTCAAGAGTTCTTCATTATTCAAATAGAGAAATATTAAACACACAGCAGCAGCAGCATGCATACACCAAGTGATCATGACTCAGTACCTGGAGTATCTTCCCTGCGACTGCGAGCGCCTTCGGGCTCCCTGCTCGTCGCCGCGACCTGCTTCAGTCGCACGCCGCCGCGCTCTGCTGGGGCCGTCCGCTGGCGCCGCCGCCGCGCTGGGCACTATCCTAGTCGCCTCTGCCTCTAGACAACACCAGAACAAGAAAACAAGTCCAAATTAATCAATTAATCAATGCAGTGAGTCTGAACTGAAAAGGAAGCACAACAAGTGCAACGCTCCTAACAGCGAATCCTAATCCGCTAACAATCCAAACTTAGTGCGATGTCAAGCCAAGTACAAGCAATAACATTTGCATGTCTCCATGAATAGATGCACTGGTACACAAGAATAAGCCTATTCAGTACAAACCACAACGAACAGATGCACTGATACACAAGCATAAGCCTATCCAGTACAAACCACAAGTTCAAAAGATTACAACAGAACGTTAACAGGTCATGGAGCAGCTCAAACTTGTGACCTGTGACTCTAACACAATATATGAATAAAGTTCAACTTCCACAGGAACCAAGAATCCGGCTTTTCCAAAGGTGTCAATAATATAAACTCAGATGTAAATACAAAATATCCAAAACACTATGATGTAGGCTTAACCAACTTAGAGCATACACCATGAAAGTGACATAAACAACTTATAGCACAACCCGCAACGGTTCAAACAGGACATTGAGATGATCACAGAGAATAGTACTCATGTATGTCATTGTAGAATGTTGTGTCATCACAGGTCACTTTGCTCAAATCAGGACATGAGTGCTCTCATCGGGGCGAGAAGCGCCAAGACTCGAGTAGTACTCCCAGAGCTACCATAAGAACCATCACTTATCCCCCCTAGGACCTAAAAGGCCAGCTAAAGTTTAACAATGTTCTGACAGATAATCCCAATACTGAGCAAATCTATAAACCCAACCTCACCCAACATCCAAACCCCGAGCCCCTCTCAAAATCCACGGAAACCCCACCACCACCCCTAACAGAATCTAACGCCACCGACCACCAAACCCTAAACCCCAAACGCAGCGTCGTGCTCACACCAGACCGACCTAAATCCCTCCTCCTCCTGTTTCTCCGCATGAAGCGGAGGCGATGGGAGCAGCAGGCTCGGGGAGGAAGGCGTGGGGGGAGCGAACTCACCAGAGCGCGAGGCGCGGGGGAGGAGCGGGAGACGGAAACGGAGGCGCGCGGGGGTAGCCTTTCTCCGCGCC